ACCTTTCTGTCCTAATTACATGACAAAACTCAATGAATGATGCAAAACTTTATTTTGGTATAATAAGCATAATCTAGAGGGCTTTGCCTTTTCTTATAAGCCATTTCTGATTCCAACTGATTAACTACAGGTCAAGTCATTATTTGTTGTTCCTACAACTTGGTTAAGCGACAAGACTTTTGTCAGGCACTGTAGAAGGTCATGAGTTCAGCAGAATAATCTTAACACTGTTGGGCCCCTGAACACAAACACAAAACAATCAGGAAATCTTTTGCACAAGACAGAACATACCTTGAAGAAAACTTGACAAGGCTTAAACATGCACACAGTTCATTTAGTCACCAGTTGCATGTGCACTTAGACCAAGAGTGGGCAATCTTATCCGTAAAGGGCTGGTGTGTATGCGGGTTTTCACCGCAACTCCCTAATTAGATTACTAATTAGAGGACTGATTGGATGAAGATTCCTCACTCCTGGGTTTGAGCAACTGACCTAAAGGTTATCCTAGAAACCTCCATACACACCGGCCCTTTGTGGATAAGACTGCCCACTCCTGAGTAAGACTGTGAACTACGACCATCAGACTCTGGTAGGTAGAGTGGTGAGAATATGCAGACTTTTCACAGGGTTCCTACTTACCTAAAAGGGAAAGGCAAGGATGCTTCCTACGGAGCAAATGGACCACCCCTATAATCTAAACCCATGTCTCAAACACAAATTACTGATTTTTCTCTTTGCATAAAACTGTACTTAAATGAATTACCACTCACCACAGAATAAGGTACAAATGAACTGAAATTGCACCAACTTCTTCCACTACTTAACAGACTCTTTATAATGTCTTCATTCTCATGTTACACCTTTTCTGACAAACTCTTGTTCTGGAGTTGGGTGGAATTTACTATTGGAATCTTACAGGTCTAGACCTGATTTTAGTTAATATTTGTTGGAAATTTCAGCTAAATCCTTAATTTCTCCTAGAAGGCATAATCCCTTTTCATTCATTAGTCTTGTACTAAAATTAACACATTAAAATGATCGGTATTAAATGCACTCTCCAAAATCAGAAAGAAACTTTGTGCAATTCAAGGCCAAGGTGAATGTTTTCACCAGGGGACGTTAGAATGAAAAGCCATCTAGCAATGTTAAAAAAAAATTAAAATAAAATGCATGCCCGGTGCAACAATAAGTTCACAATATTCCTGCCAATCACAGGAAACCAAACAGAAGTTTCTAGTTTGTGCACAAAACATCTATTCACACCTCTACAACGCCCAACGAGCTTGACGGTGAAGGCTGCTTTCTCACCAGCAGAACATCAGCTCATACTTCAGGTTTTTCCACATGCCACCACCTTACTACCTCTGGTGTTTGCCCGATTCATTTAAAGCTTTTCTAAGTTATGCGAGTTTCTACTCAATTGTTGCAGTGGCTTTTTGACTGCATAATTTGGCCTCCCATTAGTACTGCATGATGGCACCACAAGGTGCGGCAAGGAGAAGCGCATTTGAATAGCAGACATGTCTGTGACAGCAGCTGGCAGACAGGCATTACGGTAATGGTCCCTGTTGCATATACTAACCCAAACCCTCTGTTGTGGCTTTTGCAACCAGGAAGCCAGAAAGCGAGCAGCCCACACACATAGCACGGAACACGCCAACAAGCATGTTAAAACACAATAGGGACAGAAACGCTCACAGGGCATAAAAAGATTTAAAGTGACCATTTTATTAGGCATAATTTATAAAAATCATTTTCAATGTTAGTTATTTATACAAAACGTTTCTTTAAAAAAAAAAATGTATAAAACACAAGTTCCCAGTGTAAAGGTGTAGTACCACACGGTGTGTGCTAACTGAGGCACTGCGTGTGTGAGGCTCAGTCGACGGTTTCGCCTTGACAGCATACAGCAGTGACATCAAAGACCTCATAACCCCCTCCATGCATTTACACCCCACTACGCAGGCAGTTTGAGGAAAGTTGCATTCACAGATTTCAGCAGTCCCTACATATTCATCCACTCAGCATAAAGCAGCAGCCATCACCAACACTGACAGCCAAAGTTTCTAAAAGACACCTGAAATAAACCTAGGAGCAAAGTGAATTTAATTTGTTCTAATATCGACAGAGTCCTCACTAAAACTTCATTTTTCTGGCTGTACAGTAGTTTAATTCCATTATAGTCATTCCAGTTATCTATTCAACCCTTAGTTACTGGGTTCATTTGCCATTGTTGGTCAGATAATTCATTTCACACACCTTCTCATTCTAATGTCACAGTTGAGTCAGCTGATGATGGTCTTGTTTTCTGATGCTACCTTACCCCACTGTGATGCATTTAGAAGGCACTTGCAGATATACTGGAAGTGGAGTTTTACTTCGTTTATGACTGCTGAGCTTCTCAGCTCAGTTTACAAAAGGTGGTTTAGGTCTCCTGAATTCAATGAGGACTTTAAGCTGTCTGATGCAGTCAAACACATTTCACCCCTTTCACCCACAAAAAAAGGAAAAGACACATGCACAATGAAACAATCAATTACAATGACCAAGCCAGACTACCATCGCACATTCACACACTCATATTTTTTTAAAGTTTGGTTCTGCTTTATGTCTAAAATTGAAAACATGTTCAAAATATTTCAATGAAGTGAACAGGACACCAAGTACAAATATATTGATTTGAAAAATAGGAATCACCCTGATTGTGAACAAACCCAAATAGGTATAAACAGAAACGTAAAAACAGTCATATGCAATTATCAGCTACCATAAACCCAAAGGCACAGAGAAAATTTTTGCGGTTAACTGGTACTGAAAGGAAGAGGATATTTGTTGCATTTAAAACCTATTTCTTGGTGACCAGCTTTGATTTGAGCTAGGCAGTACTGATTCAAAGGCAGTCATACACGTAGTCGTGGTCCAACGTCCATGAGTCAATATAAAATTGTGGAAAGACTTTATCAATTGAAATCTTAACTGGAGGATGTAAAAAGAAATCCAATGCCATGACATGCACATCATTGGCTATGCCAAATCACAGAAAGTCTACAGCTTGTGATCACCTTTTGCTGAGACAGTAGAACAATGGGAAAGAGACCAAATCAGAACGAATTTAGGCTGGGCTGGTTTCTGGATTCCTGCAGATAAGAAAAGCTGGACCACCGATCCAAACAGAGAGAAGTGTTAAGTGGTGACAATGAACATGTTCTTCTATGGCACATAGTAAACAGCATAGCTCAGGTCCGTTAAAAACAGCGTTTGCGAGGGGCCCCCTTCTTGCCCCCTCCACCCAAGCTATGCTGCAGTCTGTGGGTCAAAGGCCTGGGGGGGAGCGGCAACACGCTCTTAATGGAGGAAATCTTTTTTTTTGGCATCTTTGCTGCAGCGTTACTTCTCTGTAAAAAAATTAATCTGTCTCCCTCTTCTGATAAGACCACCATGCTTAAAAGCCAAGACATGAAACAGTAAAAATAATAAAGATGCATTTAAAAGAGATAATCTGTTGGCAGAAGAAGCTTCAAAAAAAAAAAAAAGGGAACCGAACTCTACGAACGGAGATGGGGGATGTTTTCAATTTCACTTTGGCATCAGTTGAAGTCAAACTAGGAAGGGATGTTCTAGAAAACTGGGAGCAAAAACAAAAAATATGGGCAGGAGCTTGGAAGCTTGTGCTGTCCTCATTCTGGAGCTCTAACTCCTCACTGACACTACAAAAGCACACACTTCTTGGCGTTCTTCTTGTTGGAGGGATAGAGCACAGCACGCACGGCTTCCATGAACACCTCCCGCACGCCTTCCTGCAGCAGCGCCGAACACTCCAGGTACTTAATGGCGCCAATCTGCTTTGCCAGCGAGCTGCCCTGCTGCCCAGTGGTAGGTGCAAGGCCCTGCTCCCTCAGCTTCTTCACCGTGTCGCCGTCAGAGCGCAGATCTCTCTTGGTGCCCACCAGCAAGATGGGAACACCGGGGCAGTGGTGCGACACCTCCGGGTGCCACTTGTGACGCACGTTTGCGTGCGACGACGGGCTGCCGATGGAGAAGCAGATGATGAAGACGTTGGTCTGAGGGTAGGAGAGCGTGCGCAGACGGTCGTACTCCTCCTGGCCTGCCGTGTCCCACAGGTTGAGGCTGACTGTGCGGCCGTCCACGCTCATCTGAGCGCTGTAATTGTCAAACACTGTGGGGATGTACTCCTCCGGGAAAGCATTGGTTGTGTAGGAGATCAACAGGCAGGTCTTGCCAACCGCACCGTCTCCCACCACCACACACTTTATAGTTTGCATTCTCCCCTCATTCACACAGACTGTAGCACCTGCGCAGATGAAAAAGAGGGTCACTAATGCAGAAAATAAAAACAGTCACAGATACATCAGAAGCTGAACTGAAATTACCACAGTAAGGTCACAGCTTTTTAAAACTTTTAAAAATACTTTTTAAAACCCAGAGTGCTATCTTCGCTTGCTCTGCTACAACCCTAGCAATTTCTGTACCATGTCACCCATTCTTTAAAGGGGACCTATTACGCTTTTCTGGTTTTTCCCTTTCTGTTGGTGTGTTATAGCTTTATGTGCATAAAAACAGTCTCCAAAGTTTTAAGGGTCAAAGTACACGCCAAAAGGATGGCCTCACCAAAGAAACCGCTCTTCTGTAATCTTCCTGAAACTCCTCACTAGAATTCCAGCCCTTACTTCCTGGGCATGGTGCGGTCACCTCGTAACAATTCTTATTGGCCACCTACCTGCAAAGATCTGTCTGCAGACTGCAGGGGCATGACGCGTAGGGCAAGCTGACCAATCAGAGCGCAATGGACTCATCGGGGGTGGGGATTAAAGCTCCAATATTGTAGCATGTTAATCTATTCTAGCAGACCCCAAAAATAAAACTATGAACAGTAAAAATGAGCATAATAGGCCCCCTTCAATACGAAAAGTAGTTACAAAAGTCGAAAAGTAATCACTTAATTTGCAATTAAAACACTTGGTATTTCTGTGAGCTATTAATTGCAAGAGACTCGTCATAATTTATTTGAGCTCTGGGTCTATTTGGACATACCAAGCCAATTAAAGCATTGTTTTCAACGGTCAAATTAAAACAGCCCACTTTTATTCTTATCAAGTTTCAGACACTAACAAGTATCAAAAGGTACAAACTTGAATAGGTGGACTAATTATAAATAACCAAAATCCATTGTTACCAGCAGCAGAGGAAATAAATTACTTATTATTAAATCAGCAATAAGATAACAGGCTTTGTGTGATAACCCAATGCAGTTACTTCCTTGCTAAATCTCTTTTGTTACTTAGAATATTAGTTTCAGTATGTAACCAACTATCAGACATCGACGACAACCTTTCTCTCTTGCTACAAGACTTACACTCACAGTGGCCATCTGAAATACAAAACACACTTACCTACCTTAAAAATAATTTGCAAACATACCGTTCGAACTACCTTAAGAGAGAAAACACACCACCCTGGGGAAACAACTGATCGCATTCAACTGATAATAGCAGATAATCCACTTTTCACACTGTGCAGCTGCTCTCACCCGTATTCATTACAGCGCGAAATGACCGCTAAGGGTGTGAAATAGGGCCTCTGGACAGGCAGGGAGGGGAGAGAAGGGCTGCCTTAAACCAAGACAGATTTCTGGTCTGATTGGGAGGTTCCTGTGACTCACACATGACAAATCAGTAGGGCCTCCTTGGTGCTCTGCAAAACTTTAAATGTGTTAAAGTTATGCCCACCGGTTTTTCGGAATGGTTTTCGAACAATGACTGATAGTCCACAAGTGAACGATCGCCGCTCCTCGGGGGCGGTGGGTCAGGTTCATTTGTACGAGCACAAGAGTCCCAGGGCGGGCAGTAATTCACGGTAAAGGCAAAAGACTGTTAGCCCGCTAGCTATGCCGGCTACTCACGTTCTGTTAAGGAATCGCGGCTAATGATCTCCACAAGATTTAAAGTGACAGGTTCCTTCGAAAGAAGTTACAGATGTCATGAATATAAAAACCGCGGAAACAGAAAGAAAATACAATTACGCTCACTGTATGGCCGGCGCATAAGCTCGATGAATAAATAATCTTAATAACTGGCTAAGAAACAGCTAACAACTGCAGCGCTAGCTTGCCGGCTAAGTAAGTGGGATCGGGTTTGAATTGTGCTCGCGCTGAGCGGCTCGCTAGCTGTCCGGTCCCAAAAGCGGACAAATTGGTGATGTCCGCGACTGGATCCCCCCTTCCGAAACACACCGAGAAACCTGCAAAGAAAACAAGCTTATAACGAGCTCCGAAAACGCATCCGTCTTACCCCCTCATTGGCGGCTGGCGCTCTTATGCCGCAGCTCAATTAGACCATGCTAAAAGCGGCCCGCCACAGACCTGCATCCGGGGAGCTGCCCGAAACACCTTAGCCGATTCGCGGCAACGCCCCGGCTCGGCGCCGAGGGACGCCGGTCAATGTAGTGCTGCGAGAACAGGTCCAACGGGCGCGCCCAGGTGAATGCGGCCCCGCCTACAGCCGCCGCCGCGACTCCCGAAAGTCCTACGACCGGCGACTGAAAAGAACAACTGCACAATGCAGAGACACAATGAATTATACTCACGCTCTTTATTGACTACCGTTGATGAGACGAATACTCTCCGGCATTCCGAATCACTTTACCGAGCTGGCCATTTCAGTAGCTTATAATAAGCGCCAGGTGTCACTGTAGACTGTCCCTGAAGCAATGCACGTCTGAACTGATAGACCAAACCTACAGTTGTATTGAGTAGTAGAATCTTACGTTGTGAAACAACAGGTTTTTTTCTGCTCTGCCGTGCTCCCAAACTTATTAACAGGTTACTCAGGTCATTCACAATATAAGTTACAGTGATGACTAAGGGTTTCCACCTCAGTTTCCTAAAATCCTGGACATAGTGACACCATTACAAAGGTTTTTTAGGTGTGTTTTATAGGGAAATTGATAGGGATATTCCGTGTCCAGGAACGAAACTTGTTTTTTCCAGCACAGACGACCAAAATCCAGGGTGGTCCAGGAAAATCCTGGATGGGTGGCAACCCTAGTGATGACATCCATTCATAGTCAGTCATCGTTTCTCCATCTCCTGTTACAGGTAAGAAGCTGGCCAGTTTAGAACTTACAATAACAACCCACCACGTGATGGTCCACTTCAAACAAAGAATGGCATTTTTCAAGAGGCACGAAAGGGACTTGCATATACTCGATCACAGGCCAGTAATTCACAAACGGGGACACCACATAAACACTGGCTACTGGTAGTGTGGATCCACCCAGTGACCCACAGTCAGACATTTGAACACAAAGCAACACCAGTTTATTACTTTTCCCAAGATTTCCAGCGTCACTATGCCCTATAAAGGAAACTTTCCCACAGAGACCCTTCACCCCACCCATTCTTTGAGGGGATTCTCAAGGCCAGTTCTAACATCTCCATGATAACGCTTGCAGACTAGGGTGTGCGTCAGTGGAAGGAAAAAGGGAGAGACTGAGTAGAGGTGAAGGGCAGAGGGCTGTTACGAGTTAAGGGCAGAAAGTGCTTGAGGAAGTCTGAGAACCTTGAAAATGAGCCAGGCTAGTTAATTAGCTCTTGCTAAACAAACTGAAAGGTCTTCCTGCTGTTGCATGAATTTGCAAACATCTGATGGAGTCATTGTGTAAAATGTGGGAGAACCTCTTGTTCTTAAGCAGAGTGAGCCATCAGCAATAAGAGCACTAAGATCTCACAGTTCACACAGGGCCCTTAAACTTACTACGTCAGTCCTTCTCATATTCCAGGAAAATAGCTTTCAGAGACAAAACTATCAAATAATGGGTATTCATTGCATATTCCCCTCAAAAATAAACATGATTGGATATCATTTTTCGGGGAATGATGCCAATATAATTTTAAACCTCTGCTGAGTTTATATAGCACTCATAACTGCACTCCTCTTGATAATTACCCATGTGGGAGAAACTTCATAAAACACATGAAATGATCCAATTTTCTGACATATTATAATTGGACTAAACTAACTGAGGGTGGTTCAGTGAGTAGCACTGTTGCCTCACATTTCCAGTGTTGGGGGTCGGAATCTCACCTCCGCTTGTGTGCAAAGTGTATGTTCTCCTCACGTTATGCGGGGATTTTCTGCAGGTACTCCGGGTTCCTTTCACAGTCCAAAGACAGGCCAAGTCTAAAGTCCCCATTATGTGAGCATGTACACTGTGAGGAACGGGCATCCCATCTAGGGAGATCCCCAGCCTTGTGTACTATGCCACCCGGGAGAGGGTCAGGTGACCATGATGAGGTCAGAAGATGGGAGTATTCATTGAATTGAAGTTCAATTAATGAAAACCAAACTGGAATTTGATTTTTAAATACACCTAAGTACTATTTCATGAGGAAAATGACAAATCACACATACATCACACTGGGACAATGATCTTTATTTTATTTTCTCTTATTTACAGAACTTAATCATAAAAAATGACATCAAGTTACAATCACATCTGTAATTTAAATTAAATTCTCTTTTGTGAAACTAAAGAGAAACACACACACACACACACACATACACACACACACACACACACTTACAGAAATACAGATACCCAATCCCAGTCCCTCACCAGCCAGTAAAGTGCACCAGAATGAGGAGGTTTTACTGAGAGGGAAAGGATGGGTACAAGTACAGCACTGAGTCCTCTGCTCTGCCAGATGGTCAAGTCACAATTAACAATCAGCCCTGAAATGCTGTCCACTTCAAATGCGGTTATTGAGAACCGTTTCACCCCAATTAATAGATTTGTGCCAAATGGGTTGTGTTGGTAAAAGCCCACTTGGTCATTCTGCTACGATATTCTCAATGGAATATTGCAGACTATTACAGCACAATGGAGGTAGGGTGGGGTTTAACCAAGATGACACCTCCTATGCATTTTCACCATATGCAGCAAAATATTTAACAATGTAATAGTAGTACTTTGGACTGCTAGCATAAACAAGACACAGAAAGAGATATTTCAGTCAGGGTGCCAGAGGATGAAGGATCACATCTATTAGGCACTTTAATCAAGAACACCTTGCATGCTGTCAATATATCATGGGTGCTATGGTGTTTTATCAAGAGGTTTAACGAAGGACACCCTCTCCCACACCACAGGTGACCTTATTTTCTTGCCCCCTCCCCTAACGGCTGGAGGTAGAGTGTCAAATCTAAGGGCTAATTTATACCTCTGAGTAGAATCTACGCCATCAGTATGATGCAGCTGCAAACCCTACAGCGCAACCTGACACGCACCTACCCAGAAATGCAACTTCCAGTGTCAGGCTTTGGCGTAGGGTACGAAGCTCCCAACAGCGTAGATTCTACACAGAAGTATAAATTGGCCGAAGAACGTAAACTGAGTTCTGCCTGACGCATTTCCTTACTGTTCCTATGCACACACAGTTCAACATTTCCACCAAAGCCAATTAGTTGAGCTTGAGAAAGTAAGTTCACACCTCTCACAAAAGCTGATGGCTGTGGACAATTCAACTAAACTCTGTTCTGTGCCTCCTAACAGTCTCTTCCACTGGATCAGATGCCCATATTTCTCCAAACATATAAAGATCACTGACAACATTGCAGATTCGGATAAACTCCCACTGATAAAGCTGGGAAACCAGCATACTACATAAGTACCAGCAGCAAAGGCAAACTATGGTGCTCTCAAAGGAATGCACATCCCACTGACAGTGTTTGCCCTGAATAAAAAAAAAAAAATAAAAAAACAAAATACATCCACTTCCTTGTGAACATAAAATTATTTTTTTTGCTCCTATACTATGAAATATCCATTTAATGGTCAAATGGTCAAAGGTCGTCACCTCAGACCTCACCTCCACATGGGCTGGGCAGCTGGCCGAGCTACCTTGGGCCCAGGTAGCCGTGAACCTAAGACCCTGTTACTGGCCGAGTCTGAAGTCTTGGCCTCTTTGGCCACAGCGGCGGCAATGATGGAAGTGCGTATAGTTTTGGCAGTGGTTGAGGAGGGACTCAGCATTGCGGCTGCCATGTGGGATTCGGCTTTGGGTGCCAGTCGCTTGGAGACACGCATGGGGGAGCCCCTGATGAACGGTGCCGGGGGGGCTCCAGCCTTGTCTTTCTCATTTGTTGCATTCTCTGGGAGGTTACGGTTAGCTTTTACGGCCTGGTTGGCTAAGACCCGAGCCTTATCGCTGCTAGCTCGTTTGATTTGGGTCTGGGCACTCGGGGGTCGTTGGCCTATTGTGGAGCGCCCCGAGTTGCTTCGTGTAATGGGCAGGCGGGATCCACGTGCGGGGGAGGTCTCCTCGACAGGGGCTTGATCTACCTTGTTGCGGACCTTAGAAATGTTAGCATTGACAAGGGTCCCTGGCCTTGGCGCTTGGGTCTTGCGAACTCGTAGAGGGTACTTTGCACTCCGAGTGTCATCCTTGCTTGCTTGAGATACAGACCTTTCTCTGTCACCCACTTCCTTCCTCCATTTGGAACAGTGGCTGGGTGGAGCCCGTTGCACTGGCACAGTTATGTTTTCGTAGGAGTGTAGGCCACGAACAAGGGTGAGGCACTCCAGCGTCTCACCCACACGCGAGTACATCCGCGCCTTGCTTGACCTCGGCGGTTCAGCTTCCTCAGCTAGCTGAGGAACACGCTCTGGCGTATCCGAACCTCTATGCTTATTCACCTCCAGGACAGCAGCAGGCGTTGAACCCATCTGCTGGGCCAACACCTTCTCGGACACAAGTCTCAGCAGCTGAGCGCTGTCCGTGGACGGCTCGCTGACAGTCTCTACATCCGGAGCTTGCAAGTCACCGGGAAGAACGGAGGTTTGAGGTTGGCTCTCGGCAAGCTGCTTATTCTGCCTCCAGCCCGCGCACACAGAGTTGTTTCGTATTTTACTGAAGTCCTGAGCACTTTGTGCAGCATCTGAGATCAGCCTATTTTGACTATTTATACAATGAGTGCTCTCCTGTTGTTGATTGTACGTACCTTTGACTGTGGTAAGCTGATCAGTATTATGTTCAGTAACAGTGCTCAGTTCACACTGACTTTGAAGAGTTTCAGACTTGGGCCCATAATGGATGCTTGAAGTATCAGTACTTAACCCATTCTGATATGTAGAATTCAGTCCATGATCACCAATTGTAGAAGCAGTGTTCAGTCCATGTTGCATCTCCTTGTCAGCAGTGCTCATTCCCTCTTGATGACTGAGTCCATGTTGTGTTTGTGTAGCTGCAGTGCAGGTTTCCTGTTGCTTGGGTGAATCACCAGAACCAAGCCTCCTTGGTGACGCGTCGACTCTAGGGCTGTCGTAGGGCCCCAGGGATGTAGTATGGCGCAGGCTACGGCGCGTCTGGGCAGAGATAAGGGTCTTCTCCAGGGCTCGCTCCAGGCTGTCTTCACCCATGTCGAGGTCCAGGCCTGAGCAGGAAGCCACAGAACGCCGCCTCTCCACATTCTTGCGCTCCGCTTGCTTTTGCTCCTTCAGCTCACGCTCCGCATTCTCCTGAGAGTGAGAGAAACACAACATAATCCTATAACTGAATTACATGATAGAAACAATGGGGAAAAACACACATAAATCATTAACGGTGTGCGTTTCATAGTAGGCCAACAGTGTAAGTAGGGGTGGGAATTGGCAGTGACCGGCCAAATCAATATCGACGTATGTTTGCCGATTCAACATGCATCTCGATTTTTATATAGATTTTGTTAATGAGCATCTCAGGTCTACATTCAAAATAAAGGGCTGTAACTGTACACATATTCCTCGTGTGCATTTCGGTTACAGCATTTTTGGTTTGGAACGTGCAGTGAAACAAATTAACATTTCTTGACACCATTAAAACAAATTCACAAGTAGATGTTTAACATGGAGAACATTATGCTAATTGTGGCTTTGAATTAGTTACAGCTAGTGCTACAGACCTCAAAGACCCTCCCACATCACTTAAATCAGTAGTTTGGGAACATTTTGGCTTCCCAATAATTACACAAGCACCAGGGAGAGAGTAGTTGATTATACTAAGAATATCTGTCGGTTCTGATATATCGAACTCAGATATTTTCCTGGAAACACATCCAAAATGCTAACTCATTTTAGACAACATCATCTGAGTATATGCTTCTGCCAGAATACTCAGACTGGGCTTAAAAATAAATAACTAATTGCTAAGCTCACACTACATGATTTTAACCCTTATTTTACGTTTGCCAAAGGTATTTGGCGATCCCCAACCAAAGCCCCAGATCAGAGGCAAATCTGTGTTGCTTGGCACTGGCAAATGGGTGCTTGATCACTATTAGTTCACAGATGCGACTGACAGTCACCAATGTATCATAGACACCTGTCAGATATCTAGCAGGCTAAATAGCTGGACTTGTTGGCAACTCCCAATCCTGTACTGTGAAATGTGTTGCAACTGGCAATGAGTGCGGCAATGAGCTACAGCCAATGAAAGCAATTGGCAATGAGTGTGGCAACGAGCCACAGCCAATCAGAGCGTAGAAGTTTAATAAAGGTGCAAATAGTTTAATAAAGGTGTAAATTTAGACATAGCTGTTAGTGTTCAGGGAAGAAGTTTACGTTTCATACACTAAGGTTAGTTGTAGTTTTTAACTCGCAAAATTATTATATTTAAGTACTGACATCGCCACCTTGAAGAATTGTTATTTGTAACAAAATCGATTTTCACCCCAACCCTAAGTCAGGATGAAAGAAATACCATATTTATCAAAAATATAATACAACTGAAAGGGAAACAAAATACGATGCTGACTTTCACTGCTTTTTGGAAGCGTTGGCAGAAGCTGTGGAAGACTTTGCATGCCTCTTCCAGCTTGAAAGATTGTTCGTCCTCACAGAAGAAGTCAACAAGGGCCTGGTGGTCATTCTGTAAAGCCTCTGTCTCAGCCTCTGCCGCTTCCAGCTTCTTCTCTGCCACCTGTCAATGTAAATGTATCACGTTTCATTTGTGCAATAGAATTGCAACATGCTCAACATGTAATGGCCATTCATGTTTCAGGACTGGTGACAGGTCACAGGGTTGCATCACCATAAAGCTCTGTGATGGACTCATCTGATAGCTCTGGCAAAGACATACTCACCTCCAGGAAGTGTTGGATCTGCTGCTGCACCTCAGGCTCACTCTGAACGCTGGCCATCAGCTCCGTAAGCCTGTCCCGTAACCGGGAGACATCATCCTGCAGTGACTCTTCAGACAGCCTAGAAATGCGGGAGATAACATCTGAAGTGATGCACAGTGCAACTCTAGGCTTTTTGTTATCCACTTTATATATGCATACCTATTGCTGGACTGAAGGAATATCCCCCCCTGCCCCAAAGGGGATCAATAAAGTCAACTCTAAGCCTAAGCCTAAAGGCTGATTCACACGTCTGCACATGTTTACGAGCGGATGTGTCCAGTCAAACATTTATGACACATTTGACGTCACTGGCCGCCTCCATGGACGAACGCCTGCTGCACTCCAAATGTGTCTGCGTAGCGGTGTACCTGCAGCTCTGGACACACTGCGCATGATCGATTCACTTTAAATACCAACATGGATGCTTTTGACGAGTGTCGGGATAGCTTGCAAACCATATACAAGGTAATAAAACTGTTACATACATGTAAAAGAGGGGCAGCGTGTGGCTCAGTGGGCTAAGCCTGTATGCCTGTAATCAGAAGGTTCAAACCCAGCCTCAGCACGTCTGTGGATCCTTGAGCAAGGCCCTTAACCCCCAGCTCCCTGGGCGCTACTACTGGTGGTTGCCCTTCACGGACAACTTAATCTACAAAGAGCAAGCTGAGGGAGGCGTAAAAACAATTTCCCTACAGGGACAATAAAGTATCAATTATTATTATTATTATAATTATTATTAAAAGCGTGTGTACAGACTTGTCTCAAATTGATATTCTCATGCCAGCCGGCTGACCAAAGTTGGTAGCCCTGTGAGCTGGCTCTCTGAATTTGTAAAATATAGAGGTACATTTGCGGGGAATATCAGAATAATAATAATTTATAATTATTAATAACAACAACAACAACACATTGTGCATATGTGCATAGTATGAGACTTGAGAACTATGAACATGCCCGTGTCCACATACGCAGAGTGGATATGCGAGTGTTGCACTTGTGCAGAAAAAGTTTGAACCAGCCTTAAGCCTAAGCCTAGTACTCAAATCCCCTGGACAAACCAAAGAAGCAGGGAGTGTAGAGCGGGCCCAGTAGAGGGTGTGACAATGCACCCAGGCCAGGGATAGCTATGGCCATGTTGTGAGCCACAGCTGTTGTGCTGTGAGTACTAATTGGAGTCAAGTGTCCAGCATCAAGAAGGTTCAGACCTGGAGGCTTCTGCCACATGCTCCAGCTGGCTGGGAAACGATAACAAGCCTGGGTCTTTTTTCACCACTTCCTGGACATAGATGAAAAAGGACACGCACTTCAGCAACAGTATTTTTAGTTTAAAATTACATTTACGCAGTTAGGAATGCTCCAACAGTCAAAATGCTAGGACAGCGTTTCCCCCAGAAGATGGGAGTGAGCAAAAGTGTGGAGCATCTTTGGGTCCCCCAGGAACTGACTGGCAAACACTGGTCTAGGAGTTCTTACCCTGGCCACAAAGTGCAGCAGATTCATGCCCGGTTTGTTGGCTTTGGTGTCAGCCAGTTTGAGCAGCGAGGCAATACGGAAGCCGGCAGCGTTTCCAGCGTAGCTTCCCTGCGTACGACCACACAGAAATCAGCCCCGATCAAACACACTAACACACAAGCCATGTGCCCAACTGGACCAAGAATAAACACTGGATCCTTTACCCTTTAAATAGGAGCCTAGTCTGAAGCAGCAGCACATAAGCAGTACTTAAATGGTTACGATAATACAAAAGTCACTTGCTAAGCATATTGGTACAGGCCAGCAAATTCTGTATTTGGAACAGGTATAGACATTGATGGTGTCAGTTCCACGTGACTTGATCCACAACCATACATTGTGTAAGTTTTGCTTGTGTGTGGGTAAAGAAAGAAAAAAAAAAACGTACTGCATTCATATAGTTTCCAGCCTTCAGTACCAGACGCAGGATCACATGCAGTTCAGAACAGTTCTGCAGCTCTGGGGGGAAAAGAAAATAATAAATCACTAACCTTACATTCCTACTGGGCCTTCTTGAGCCTATTAGCTGAGCTCATGCTGCTCGAGATCTCTAGAAATCACATCTAGGAACTGCTTAAAAAATCTGAATATTTGTTCTGGAACTTTTTAAAAAAAAAGAAGTTTCTAGTGTCTGCAAACCACACAGAACAATCGCATTCCCAGAGCTGTTGTGCACCGCATGATTGCCCATTCTCTTAAGTGCAATGTAAAAATTCCTTGGCCGCTGTGTAAACGTTTAATTTAGGACGAGCGTGAAACGAGCCGTGATTGGCGAGATCCCCCCCCTCCCCCTTCCTGATATCTCACCTCGAGCTGCGTCCCCCAGCCGGCGGGCCCCCACACACAGGGAGCTCACAGACGGTTCAAACTCCTGCTTGAGGATCATGGCATCCAGACGCAGACGAAAACTATGGGGTCACACAAAGGAAGACTCAGAGGGGAGCAACTAGTCTCAGCAACGCAGCTAGGTAGGTGGGCAAAGGGTTAGGAGAGAACATCTGAACAATTAATGCCTGAACACGCTCTTTGTTCCGTTTATCAGTTTGGCAGTTCGGCAATGAGACTTGTTGCCAAGGCAATTAAGAGAGATTTAGTAGAGAAATTGGAGAGGGGGGAAGATAACAAAAGACACGTTGGGGGGGGGGGGGGGGGGGGGGGGGGGGTT